TCACTGACCAACACCCTAAAACCCATGTACCCTCAAACAACAATCACTGACCAACACCCTAAAACCCATGTACCCTCAAACAACAATCACTGACCCCAAGTTGATTCTGGCTCACAGCAACTTTATTAGGCAGAGTAGAAGTCTGTTCAGCGGGTTTCCGAGACGTAAATATGTATAAGAGCAGACGGCCTCATCTTTCTCCCATGAAGCTGCTGATGGGTTTGAATCTCTGACCTTGCAGTTAGTAGCCATCTACCAAAATCACCACACCACCACGTATTCCCGAGTCTCACAGCTTGAGAACTGCCTCCTGCAGAAAGTGGTATCTTTAAAAGTTGTATTGACGTATAATTTACATACCATACAATTCAATGAAGGAATACATTAAAAAGAGTTGTGCAGTCCTCACCAAAATCAAATGTAGAACATTTTCTTCCTTTTTTTACTCATTGTTATTAGATCCCCTTCCCCACCAAACTCCCCTATCATAACCATAAGAAACTATTATCTAGTTATGGTTTCTATAGATTTACCTATCCTGGATTTCATGTAAAGCAAGTCAGACAACCCTCACCCGCCAAAAGCAATAACAAAACACCGAAAAACCTCAATTCAAATGAAGATAAAAAATGATAAAACTAGAATAAATTAAAATTTGGTCAATTGGGAAAACAAATAAGATGTTAACATTTAACTTAACTATATCTATCATATAGGCTAAATTATATATGTTATATGTATAAGCTATGCACATATTAGGTTAAATTAATGGAAATATAGGTAGGTTAAGTTTTAACACCTTATCATTTGTTAACCATCTTGATCCATTTTTAATTCATTCTAGTTTTTATTATTTTCTGCTTTCTTTTGAATGGAGGTTTTTCCGTTTTATCAGCTATTGTTGTTGGGGTGTTTTGTATGACATTCTTTATATGAAATCCAGGGTAAGGGAGCCCTGGAGGTGTAATGGATTATTCATTGGGCTGCTAACCACAGGATCAGCAGTTCAAAACCACCAACTTTTCCAAGGGAGAAAGATGAAGCTCTAGGCTCACAGAACTAGTTACAGCCTCAGAAACCCACAGAGGCGGCTCTGCTCTCTCTGAGAGGGTCACTGTGAGTTGGACTCGACTCTTCGGCAGTGAGTTTTTTTGGAGTGAGATATGTCTGCATTAATTCACTTCCTGATGCACTCTGTCTGGAGGTCAGGTTAAGCGCCATGCTGTTATCAGCCAAGCTGTGGGAACAACCAACACATGGAAGTCTTTGATGATCTTTCAAAACTGAAAAAACAAAAAAGCTTAAAATGCTTATTTTCTTTTAAAATAAAACAACCATTTAAACTCACTTGAAAAAAATCATAGACCCATTGCATATTAACATAGATAACATATTTAATTTAAAATGTACTATATCTTTCTAAACAAAATGCAATTTATGGGAAGGGGGTCATTGTTTTATATCTGTGCATATTTCCTTCATGTCGCTCTGGTTACCCCAAGTTCAGAGCATTTCCTGGACCCTTTCAAGGAGGTGAGAGACCCAGATGTGGGGCTGAGACCCAGATAGTGAGTCCCAATTGCAGGAATCATCGTCACAGTGGTCGTTGGTTACTTCTGTCTTTATCATAACTAGGGACACTGATAGAACAAGAACAAGGAATCCAGCACCTTGTGAGAAGAACCGTGCCAGTCTTCCATGCTCCTAGATTTGGGGTGTGTAATCAAAGAGCTGTGTCACCTCCACAGTTGCACAATTTAGACTGCACAGATGAATCAATAGGGTGTCCGTGTAAAAGACCTCAGTCATCAGAGTGACCCTATAGGACAGGGTTGAACTGCCCTGTGAGTTTCTGAAACTGTACTTTAGGAGAGTAGAGAGCCCTGTCTTTCTCCTGAGGAGCTGGGTAGTGGTTTGAACTGCTGACCTTAGGGTTTGCAACCCAATGAATAACCACTATGTCACCAGGGCTCCTCTCGATGTTTTCCACAAAAGTGCCTAACCCGCTCTCCAGAATTCAGTTATTTCACCTGCTGGGCGTTCTACGGCATGTGTTTCTATGGGAACATATAAATGATGGATTTGAAGCATCTCTTCAAAAACGTGTCCAGCTTTCACAGCGTGGTGTTTGTCAGTGACAGATGTACATCGTTCATGAAAAAGGAAAACAAAGTCATATAGTAGGGGTTTTTGCTTTTACTATTATCATAAATACAAACTGTTGGGGAATGAGATAGTGGATAAGTGAGAGGAGGGATTAGTTCTATTTGCTATTGTATTGTAAAGGGCAAAATGAAGACACAGAAGGGGGTTTTGAGAGTACATGGCCCTCTTGTCCCTGTCTCTTTCCTCTGACACTAAGCATTATAGTTTTGTTAACTATGCAAGTGTAGAGTGGTCTGGAGTCTCACAGCCCAACTCAAAGCCTAATACTTAACCACTGTGTTAAGCACAGTTTTCCTTTAAAAGGAACCCTTGTGGTGCTATAGGGTCAGTGTGGGCCTGCTCACCACAAGTCAGTGGCTCAAATCTACCAGCCACTCTGTGCGAGAGAGTTGAGGCTCTCTGCTCCCATAATGATTTACACTCCTGGACGAATGATGTAAGGTTACTATGCCTTGAAATACACTTGAGGGCAGTCGGGTGTGTGGTTCCTTTCAACTGGCCAAGGACTATTTCTGATAGCAAAGCAGGAATTATGAGCCGAGGGGAGTAGGCGTGAGAAGAAGGGCATCTCCTTGTGTTCAGGGTGAATGTCAAACAATATCAGTCTCAGATAACTCTCTTTGTAACTTCCTAACTCCATGTGCTATAGGAGGAAACCAATAGCAGCCTTTTGTCCGCACTTTTAATTTTAAGAATGAGCACCTTTTGTGGTCTTGTCCATTAAGCACAACAAACTGTCGTTAGCGATTTGTAGGGAAATGTTCCATTTCAGAATACTAAGTGCCCCATCAACTCCCCTCCTGATGACTCCACAGGGATCTTCGGAACCTAGTGATTGAAATGGTGTTGTCTACAGACATGTCCGGTCACTTTCAGCAAATTAAGACTATACGCAACAGTCTGCAGCAGCCTGAAGGGTAGGTGATTGCCTTTTCCATTGTGAGCGTTCTGCGGGCTGGGACAAGAGTACCATAGGTTTCTTTGCAGTGATAATTTGAGCATGACCTTCATTGGACAGGATCGACAGAGCCAAGACCATGTCCCTGATCCTGCATGCGGCAGATATCAGCCACCCAGCCAAATGCTGGCATCTGCACCATCGCTGGACCATGGCCTTGATGGAGGAGTTTTTCCGACAGGTACCCTTCTATACATTGCCCAGAAGTGTTTGGAAGTCATGACTCTGAGTGTCTACGTGCACTGTGCTCTGCAGAAACCTGGGCTTTTGACATAGGCTCCCAATTACAGAAATTATCAATGTATTCTTGGTGGTTTAAGCAGAATGGATTCACCTTTCAGATAAATGCATTAGATAGTGCCAGGAAGCAGGGCTGGTTCCGGGACAGCACTGTCACCTTGCATGGCAGAGACCAGGGTTTGACCTGAACAATGTAGCTCAAAGTGCAGCCACCACTATTCTGTCCCCGGAGGCTTCTCTGGGTGTTATGCGTCAACACAGGTTTCTGTGGCGTGTCCAGCCTGAAATGGACTAGGAAGAACCTGGCCCTCTACTTTTGACACTCCTGTGGGACACAGTGACCTCGTCTTCAATCAGTCTTGGAGATGTTTCATGATGCATGGGGTTTGTTCCAATGTCATCCTGAGCTGGGCCAACTCATCAACCCAGTAGGATGATAAATGTTTTAAAGAGCAGCGAGTCTTGGATCTCAGATTCCACGCTCAGGGAAGAAATAAGACATTAGAGTTGTGGTCACCTATTTGTAGGAGGCCTGGTGGTGTAGTGGTTCCGAGTTGAGCTGCGATCTGCATGGTTGGCAGTTTGAAACCACCAGCAGCTCTGAGGGAGAAAGACTGGGCTTTCTACTCCCATTAACAGTTGAAGTTTCGGAAACCCATGGGGAGTGGGGGCGTGGTGTCGCGCTGAGTCAGTATTAACTTGACGGCAGTGAGAAAGAAAAGAATTGACTAAAATGGCAGTTATTAAGAAGACTAAAAATTTGACAACTTAAAGAAATTTATAAATTCCTTGAAAAACACAAATTACCAAAACCAACACAAGAAAAAAAAAAGAAAACCTATATATATATATACATACATCTGCTTAAAAAATTGATTCTGTAATAAAAAAAAATCTTCCCATGAAGGAAACTTTAGGATCAGGAGGGTTCATAGGTGAATTTTAAAAAATATTTTAGGAAAAAATAATACAAATTTTTTGGAAATTCTCTGTCAAAATGTAGAGAAAAAAACATGCCAGCACAAACCTTACAACATTGAACTAAAACAATACCAAAAATACAAAGAGCATACTCATTTCTCTCATGAGCCTAAATGGAAAAATCCTTAAAATATTAGAAAAACCAACAGTATATTAAAATAGTATTATCTCATGATGTGGAAGCTCTGGTGGCACGGTAGGTTACTCACTGAGCTGATAACCTCAAGGTCAGTGGTTCAAATCTACCAGCTGCTCATCGGGTAAAAATTAGTCTTCTACTGTACATGTTTAGTATCTTAGAGACCCAAAGGGTAGTTTGACCCAATCCTGTAGGGCCATTGTGAGTCTATGGAATTGACTAATGAAAGTGAGTTCGTTTTTGTTTTCAATATCATGACCTGAGTTGTTCGAATACTCAAATAAGTCAATGCAATGCACTACACCAACAGAAAAAGAAAAAAAAGTGTGGGGTGGTGGGGGAGGCGCCCATGACCTTCTTGAAGGATAAAAAAGAAGTGTTAGCTAAGAAGAAAATAGTGACAAGGATATTTGGGGAGGGAAGATTAAAATGATTATTTTGTTTTAAGTTAAATCTTTTCAGGCTCTTTCTGTTTTCTTCAATGCTGCCAGAGGTAGTATGTTGTTCTTGGGTGCCCGTGAGTTGATTCTGACTCATTGTGACCCTACATGACAGAACAGAACTAACTGCCCCATTGGGTTTTCTTAGAAGGAGCCTTGGTGGCATAGTGGTTCTGCATTGAGTTGTTAACCACAGAGTCAGCAGTTTGAAACCACCAGATACTCGGAGGGAGAAAAACAAGGTTTTCTACTCTCATAAAGAGTTAGAGTCTCGTTACTACCCTGCACCCTGATTGGTTCATCTCCTCCCCACAACCTCTCAGTAAGGGGGTGTTCAGTTGCCCACCAATGGGCTTTGAGTCTTCACTCTGCACTCACCTACCTTTACAATGATATGATATTTTTGATAGCCGGGCACCATCAGCTTTCTTCACCACATTTGCTCATGCTCATATCAGGAAGGTGGGCACCCACTGATATGATTTTTAGTTCTTTGATGTCTGTTAACTGGTCCCTTCTGCACCTTGTGGTCAGACAGGCTGGTGTGCTTCTTCCATGTGGGCTTTGATGCTTCTTAGCTTGATGGTCGCTTGTTTATCCCCAAGCCTTCAAGACCCCAGATGCTATATCTTTTGATAGCTGGGAACCATTAGCTCTCTTCACATTTCCTTATGCACACGTTTGTCTTCAGTGATTGTGTCAGTAAAGCGGGCACCCACTGATATGATTTTCAGTTCTTTGATGCCTGATAACTGGTCCCTTTTACACCTCATGGTTAGACATGCTGGTGTGCTTCTTCCATGTGGGCTTTGATGCTTCTCAGCTAGTTGGTCCCTTGTTTGTCTTCAAGCCTTTAAGACCCCAGACGTTGTATCTTTTGGTAGCCGAGCACCATCAGCTTTCTTCACCACATTTGCTTATATTTACCTTTTTCTTCAGCAATTATGTCGGGAAGGTGTGCATCCTGGAATGTCAATTTAATAGAACAATGTGTTCTTGCATTGAGTAAGTGGTTGAGTGGAGGCCCAATGTCCATCTACTGACTTAATACTAAACCTATAAATATATGCACGTAGTTCTGTTTCCCCATACTCTTATATAAATATATTTATATATGTACATTCCCATCTTAAAACCTCTATAAATACCCCTTGTCACCTACTTCTTTCCTCTATTTCCTTTTATTTTTCCTCTTGTCCCACTATCATTCTCAGCCTTCATTTGGGTTTCAGTAATTTCTCTCAGCTCTGTTGCCCTTGCTGAATCCCTACCAGGCCTCTCACACCCTCCTTGCCACTGATTTTGGATCACTTGTTGCTTCCCTTTCCCTGGGTTGACTTTCCTCTTGTTCTTAAATCCTTCCTCCCCACCACTATCATGATCCCAATTCTACCTTACAAATCTGGCTAGACCAGAGGATGTACATTGGTACGATAGCAACTGGAAACACAGGGAATCCAGGACAGATGACTCCTTCAAGACCAGTGGTGAGAGGGGCGATGCCTGGAGGGTGGAGGGAATGTGGGGTAGAAAGGGGGAAACCGATTACAAGAATCTACATATAGCCTCCTCCCTGGGGGATGGACAGCAGAGAAGAGGGCTTGGGGAGATGTTGGACAGTGTAACTTATGACAAAACAATAATAATTTATGAATTATGAAGGCCTCATGAGGGAGTGGGGAGGGAGGGGGAAACGAGCAGCCAATATTAAGGGCTAAAGTGGAGAGCAAATGCTTTGAGAATGATGAAGGCAACAAATGTACATATGTGCTTGACACAGTGGATGTATGTATGGATTGCGATAAGAATTGTACGAGCCCCCAATAAAATGATTAAAAAATAAATAAATACCCAACTCTTTAAAAAAAAAAGAAATTTTGTAATAAACACAAATGTTATTTTAAAAAAAGAGTTAGAGTCTCAGAAGCCCACAGAGACAATTCTACCCTGTGTTACAGGTTCACAGAGACTTGGAATAATTAGTGGCATGAGTAGGTGGTCTTTTTCAATTGTTTACAGAGCATATCACCAGGTGTTTGTCCCACCTAGCTGCAGGGGGTGCACAAGCCTGCAAACTTTGGTCTACTTTGTACCTGAAGTCCTCCTCGAAGAAACTGAAAGTGCATTATTTGAAAATAGATTGTTTTCCTCTTTGTGATAAATATATATTTGGTTAATGCATTCTCAGTCAGGAATCAAGCATCCACAAGACATAGACATAACAACAAGAACAACAAAAAACTATTTCAAAAAAGTAGGGAAAATGATCCTGTAGCTGGAAGCTAAGGTAACAACCCAACTATGTGAACATCAAAATCAAAGCTAAGGTAACAACCCAACTATGTGATACTTTAGGAAGTATCAAAGTTCTATAGAAAGTTGTTTCTCTAAGGGACACTCATGTTTTATAAATATTTTCTGAATTCACAAAAAATGCAGTGTCATGAATTTTACTGAACGTAAATGTGTGGGCTATAATCATTACGCAGTTAAGAAATTTGGTTGAGCCTCAAAGAATTTAGAGAGAATGATGGTCTACATCCTGAAATAAGTTGGACAAAGGTTAAACCAGTGCATCATTTCCCTTTCCCCAAATAATTCCCGTAGAGAATGACTGGCTGGTCAAGGTCTATCCTTAGTCCTCTTACCGCCCTAAGCCTATGGTTAATCACCGCTGTGAAAACCACTGAGGGCGTGATGACTCACCAAAGGGGGAGGGGGACAGACCCGGAGTGAGGTCCACGTCCAGAGCTCGGACTTAAAGAAGCTTAGCGTCCAGATCTACTCTGCACTCATGGGCTAGACCTGACAGGAACTGATGACGGCAAAGCCTCCGGCCAAAGGCTTCTTGCATGCTTGTTTTTGTCCCTTCTGTGACTGAAAATGTAGGTTTCCGTGCAAGAGGTTTTTCGATATTTGTGTACTTTATTGTCCCATCTTTTTCCTTTCTTTTTTTTTTTTCTCTTTTTCCTTTCTTTAAAACAGTACAAACTGTTTTGTCCTCAGATCAATTGAAAAAAAAAATTGTGTTCCATCCCTGCAAATGATACCTTGTTGACTGTCACTGGAGGCCTTCACACTACTGGAAAATGGTCCCTACCTCTTTGCCACCGCTGTTTAAAGGAGGAGTCTCCACCATCTCCCAGGGCTTCATTTGCTCAGACAGGCGAGAGGAGCTATCAGACTGGAGCGCAGAGAGCTGCCTTGTTCCACTGCTGACGGGACTGTATTTTCTACCTCCCTGCCTGTCCACTCATTCCCATGAATATAAGACTATGCACCTAGGGACGTGAATGAGTGGTGGTGGGTTAAATAACCCATTTGTGACCATTGGAAGATATACTGCCACAAACATTACCAGTCTCTTAGGTGTCCTGGGAAAGTTGTAGTCATGCTACCACCTGGTGGGGACAGGTATAACTGTGTCCTGACCAATCCTACCACCAGAGTCCACGTGGGATGTATGAGGGGACTTCAAAATTCAGTGGGAAAATGCCTTTGTTTAATTCAACTTTTCACAAGCTTTTTGAAGCTCCCTCAGATGTGTCTCAGATAACTATATAAACATTCATATTACCTCAAAAATAGACATTTTTTTCTCCTTGTAGGCCTTCAGCAGTAAATAGCATGGGAGCCATATCTGTATTACCAGTAGGCAGGCAGTGGTCAGATATACCTCCATGCCCCGTCCTCCTTTATCTATTCTGACACCATCCATTCTTTCTACACCACGCTACATCTATGCTGGGTTCTCTCACCGGGAGGAGGCTCAGAGCTCCAACACTCTGCACAGTTCTGTTCCTGTCCTGCTCGCAAGAAAGGTTTCAGGTGTCCGGCAAATTTCAGACCAGAGTCGGAGGAAAGGTTTTAGCAGAAAGAGAAAACTTATTTAAAGGAGATACTTCAGAAAAGAAATGCAAAGGGCCCTTAGCTAGTTTAAGAAGCCCTGCCCTCCCCACCCCACCCAAAAAAGCTGAACCTTGCAATTTGCTCACGGAAGCCTTACTGCCACCAAAGGTGGAACCGCCACCAAAGGTGGAAGCCTTATGGCCACCAAAGGCTGGCTTTCTGGCGGGACTTCTGCTGTTGGCTGGTCCTCTGTAGCGTCCCTCCTTCTTTCAGATATGCATGTCATTGCAATCTAACAACCCAGCACCCCAGACTTCATGAGGTGCGCTTGTCCCAGACCCGAAACTCGGGAGTCTGCTCCTTCATTGTGGGGTTGTGTGACCTTCTGGCCTATTTCATACTCCATTGCGATGGCCACACAAAGCTCAAGGGGGCTGATTGGGGGAGTTTGCAAGTTACCATAATTTAGGATCAGTCATTCGTCCACATCGACACTCTCCTCAGCCAGCTCTTTGTGGTCCCCAGGCTGTCTGTCTTCCCGGACCAGCAAGTCCATCCATCTGTGTCTCTCAATCACCTAGACTCAGTAAGGCTCCTCTGGCTCAGGCCCGTTGCTCTATGCCTCTGGTCTCAGCCTCCTTCACTTCAGATAGAGATCTGGAACATGCTCTTCCCATGACCTTGGACTTTCTCTTCCTCTCTGAGCTGATTCTGATGCCCGGAGGAAAGGCTTTGATGGAGGTGTGGTTTTGGTCTTTCAGCAGACCACATTGCCAAGGAAACAAAGGATGGGGACTAAGTCACACCCTCTAGAAGGGTCTACAGATGCATCCCACCTTAATCCTGTAACAGAAAACACCTTCCAAAATGAGATTATAGCCACAAGCATAGAGTCCAGAATTATTACATCACATAAGGAATTGTGGCTCTAATTAACTATATCTCAGGCTTTCTGTTACTGTGAACATAAAGTATCTACCAAAAATTAGAAGTGGGAAATAATTTGCTCAGGAAAGGGTGAATTAACTGAACTTCTCCAGGGGAGAAAGACAAGGCTTTCTACTCCCATAATGAGTTGTAGTCTCAGAAACTCACGAGGGGAGTTCTACCCTGTCCCATAGGTTGGCCATGAGTTAGAATTGACTCAATGGCCGTGAATTGAGATCAAGGCCCTTGCGTTGCTCATCTGTACATGAAAGGCCTGGGAGGTGCTTCCCTTAAGACTGCAGCCAAGAAAATCCACTCTGTAGCACACGGGATGGCCCCGCGCTGGCCCTGGCACAGCAGCCCCAGCTGTGCTCGGCTGCTGGAATTGCTGTCCATTATCCTCATGGTGTTCGCATGGGCATGAGAATGAAATGTAGCCTGGTCCTATGCCCACCCTACCGTCAGTTTCTGATCCCATTGCTGTGACTCATAGGGTTTTCAGTGCTCATATTTGAGAATCGATGGTCAGGCCTTTCTCGTAAATAAACTTAATGAAAACTCTATCTTATTGGTAGTCCACGCTTAGAGAGCATTTGGTCAGTCCTGACTCAGTGCTAGACACTGTGCTGAAACTTCAGTGAGATGGTCTTCATATCTGGAAGACCTATTAGGCAGATAACTAGCCTTTGTTTCTAAGATGAGAAATCTGAGATTGCAAAGGTAAGTAACAGATGAGGAGAATTCATGTCAACCAAGGCAGTGGGTGATATGGCTGAAGTAACCAAGATAGCCCATTGGACAGCAATGAGTGAGCCCTGAGTCTTCTGGCTTCAAAGGATAAGGGCCCTTCCCTCTAGCCCTTCAGCCAGGAAGAGATATTCCTTCCAAGTGGCACTGATGTTACTCTCTAGGAGATGGAAGGGCTGTGTGTCGCTGAGGGATGTTGAAGACGTTCTTTTTCTGTGTTCTCTGCCAACCCATGCCCTGGTGGGATTGTTCTGCCTGGGCTCACTTGGTCGTTGCCTTTGCAATAGACTTTCCAGAACAATTCTGATTCCAAGCTTTCTTCCTGTAATCCTCATAAGCAGAAGTGTAGCCTAGAGGGAATGCACTGAAAAAAAACACATTAATTAAATTTTTTTTTAATTTTAAGCTTTCACATGACATTAAGATGGATCCAACAAAGTGATCTCAGAGAGCCAGAGTGGAAGGAAGTCGTCAGGGTCTTTGGGGCTTTTATCTGCGCTCTCCCACCAAGTGAAGGCTCCGTTTGTGTTAGCTGATTGCGGAAGCTGACCTGTGCCCACGGTTCTGCATTGAGGGCAGGCCAGTGTACAGCATGAAGGTATACCTCTAGTAGCTCAGGAGGAAATCGAGCCCAGCGGTTTCTTTCAAGTGGTCAAAGCAGTGAAGTGAGCAGGTGGATTGAAGTGTCGTCTCTTTGGTGAATACGTCCCTTTGAAGGCAGAGGAGAAAACCAAAGTCTGAGAGCCTGGTGATAATGAAGACATTTGCCCAGAGCACTCGCTCTGCTTTATGAGATGGAAACCTGATGTTCACCCCGAGCCCGGGTAGAATTCTGGAATGCATATGCTTAACTAATCGCCTTAAATAAGACAAAGAATAATGCTTATTGACATTTTAATGTTCTCAGAAAATACCCTCCAGTAGAAGAATGCTGAAGAGATGACTCATAGCTTGTCCCTGGAAAGGCATTAACACCTGGTTAATGAGCAGAAGGATATTTCAAAACACATTCAGAAACTTTTAACTGAAAAATCCCAAACAATCTGATCATGAAAATCTTGTTACTAAAGATCTGCCGAACTATTTGGCATGTGAAAAAATAAACCCAAAAGGAGAGCTGGCTGTCAGTGACATGCCAAATGACCCACTGAGGGGATTAATTTCACACAGACATTCCAAAGTCCCACAGAGGAGAGACTGTCTCTACAGCCAGAGGGCTGAAGTCCCCAGGTCCCGTCTCACGATGCCGAGCATGTTCCTGTTCGGTTGCTTGGTTGGTTGTTGCCTCCACGATTGTCTCCTACAGGACCACTCAGTGAAGAAAAAAAGGTGATATACATGACTTAAAGGTTTTGGTTTTATGAATATTTTTTAGAGGTTACCGATGGCCATTAAGAAATGAAGAGGGGGCTTTTTGAAGCTCTTGTCTTTTTCTGTACATTGTCTGAGTTTCTGTCACTCAAATCTGCACTAACGCGTGTTCCTTTCCCCAGGGAGACAAAGAAGCGGAATTAGGGCTTCCATTTTCCCCGCTTTGTGACCGGAAGTCGACGATGGTGGCGCAGTCACAGATAGGTAATGCTATGAACGTGGGCCTGACAGGGACATAGTCCGTGTCCTCACTAGGCTGTTTAAAGGGGTAACTTCTGTGAACACCTCCCTTTAGACTGACCTGATTGAATGCCAAGTGACAAGGGGATTGAAACATGGTCTCACTAAAAAAGCCCAATAAAATAGCTCTAGGACATGTCCTCAGTCTTTGAGCACAAGGGGCTTTTGTTGTTTTGTTGCTGATTATAGTCCTCCCGAATGCCCCCCCTCGATAGAGTACAACTCAATGATGACATTAATATACCTGTTCTGTTTGCATAGTATACTTAATTTCATATTTTTAAAAGGAAAAAAAATGATTGTCTGAATAGGTGTGGGGTATGGTTAGTGGGTTAGTGGTTAGTGACTCAAAGGTGGACAGTTTGAGTCCATCGGCTGCTCCACGGGAGAATGTTGAGGGCGTCTGCCTTCAGAAAGATTGTCAACCTAGAAACCCTGCGGGGCAATTTGCCTCTGTCCCATAGAGAGTCCTAGGGGACTCTGTCCTATAGAGCCGACCCCTACCTGATGGCAGTGCGTTCATTCGAACAGATGTGCCAACAGAAGAAAATGTATACAATGCTATTGTTCCCCGCCATATTAATTCCTATCATCTCTAATTGTATTGTTACTACAACATCTTCTTGTTAGGCTGCGACCTTCAAAGGTACACAACAGTTATCTGTAAGGCAGCGTTGTTACTACCCAGTGGTATGATTCATACACAAAGGACCCTCACATGACCTACGTGATCCTCCACAGGTGGCTCTCTGCAGCCATCAGCAAGCGCCAACAGCAGTTTTCTAGAGAACCTAACACAGGTGTTCTTCATTGGTTAGCAGGTGTGAAGATGTCTGTCCGGTTTAGGACCTCACCTGGTGGGCTGGTAGGGATCTCTGTTTCCGAGGTTTGCTACCGCTTGCCCCATGTGACAGCTTACCCAGCCTAGGCATGTAAGCCGCAGTTGGAGCTTGAAATAGCACCTTCCTGGGGGCTAATTATACTGCCTTGCCTTGCATGCATTAAATATAACATAAAACTACCCCACCTTTTTTTGTTTTTAATTAAAAATATGTCTTAACATATACTCTGGCTGATCCAGCAACCTGAAATCTGAATTACTTTTATCCAGTGGATGAGAAGCTCTTCCATTGTGCCTTTTCTGATACACCATCACCCAAAAAGCCCCCTTCCAGGCATTTTCCTATATTTCTGTGGGAGTCCATGACTCCCTTTGGCTTTTGGGGCGACAGGCACTGGATGGTAAGCACCCATCCATATTTGGTCCCAGGGGAGGTTACGGTGTATGCAGAACTTGGGGACAGGCTATCTTCTCCCCTTCCCCCTGAACAGTGGCTGGCAAGTGCTTCCTGAAGGACCAATCCCCCTTCTCTCTGTGCGTCATTTCAATCTGGATGAGTACTTTCTATTCAGTCTCGATGGCCCAGAGTGTTGGGATTAATGTTGTTTCCCAGAGATGTTACGGTTCCCTTTGCTGATTTGATGGAACGCACCCACGCGCTGCAAACTAACACTTTACATGCAGAGAATAATAAGCAGCAATTTGAAACATTCGGAAATATTAACCCACTGACAGAAAGCTCTGATTAGTACAGGAAGAGGAAAAAAATGACAAAGATTGGCTGTGTTCTTTGAGAAAAACTTCACTGTCTTTCTTTGGCGCTGAAGCTGTTCTGTTGGTGGTCAGCAATGAACGTCCAGAAGCAAGGAAGACCTTGTAGAAAGTGGAACGATCCTCACTGGCAGGGAAAAGTATATTCCCTTTCATGAGAGCTGAGCGTGTTGTCAAGAATAGAATGCACAGATGGCTGGATAGGAAATGACAAAGACATGCTTGAAGATTGTTTTGCAACATTTCTAAAGATTGTGTTATTTAATATATCATCAATCAAGGGGTAGGTTGGTACTTGCTCTCCCAGAAGCATCAGTCTCTTCACTATGACTGGAATTCACACCATTTGAATTTTTTTTCTCCTCCTTTTGTAGGTTTCATTGATTTCATAGTCGAGCCAACGTTTTCTCTCCTGACGGACTCAACAGAGAAAATTGTTATTCCTCTTATAGAGGAAGCCTCAAAAGCCGAAAACTCTTCCTTTAGAGATATCAGGTTTGATATTTTTCGGTCATTATTTTCCCTTCGAGATGTTTAATAACCTTTTCTCTATTATTTTTATAATTTCTTCCATCTTGGCAGCGTATTCTTAGAGAACTATTAAATAGTATTGCCATCTAGTGGCCACATATTACATTGCAGCTACCTCTGAAAATTACCCACTACCAAATAGAATTCTGTGCGTGGCATAGTGGATTACTGAGTTGAGCTGCTAGCAGCAAGGTTATCAGTTCAAACCCACCAGCTGATCTTCGACAGAAAGATGAGGCTTTCTGCTCCCACGGAAAAAAATGTATAGCCCTGGAAACCCATAGGAGTAGTTTTACTCTGCCCTAGAGGGTCAGTCATGGGGCAGAATGGACTCTAAGAGAGTGAGTTTTTGACCAATGGTGAGGTCAGCACGAGATCGGGCAGTGTCCCATCCTGTAGTAGTAGGGTCCCTAAGATTCAGAGCTGCCCGAACAGCACCTAACAGCCACCACCCAAAACACCAAAGTGTTAAGGCGCTGAAGTGGCATTTAGTACTGAGGAAAATAAAATTAATTTCATTTTAATTGACCCGTTTTGTTTTGTGTCCTGGCTATAGTAACATATCTGTTATGTTGTAAAAAACTAACCAATTCAGAACCACTTGTCCTTCAAGTAAGACCTGTATCTAAGTCAGCCTCTTAGCAATGCAAGAGAATCCAACAAATGAATACAATATATAGTAGTGGAGCCCAATAGACACAGAATAACACCGTATTTCAAACGGAGTATCTGCATTGCTCAATTTGGTGAAGCATAGGTAGCATCGTTGAAAACGCCCACTTGCAGAACAATGCTACCTGGTCGCCAGTCTGGTTGTGCAGCGGCACCACCTGAGACTCCATAAAGGGTGCCGTTGAGGGAACAGGGGATGTGCTAGCTGAGAGAGCCCCTCCGGATGCTGCCCGGGGAGGAAAGGACTTCCGGGGAGCCCCGAGCAGGATCACTGCCATGTGAGGAGGGCCCAGGGGGGGCCGCAGCTCAGCGTCAGGCTGACTGACGTCTCAGGCGTTGTGCCACCAGTCTTGTCCCCATTCTGCCCTCTTCTACTGTGTCCCAATCTCCGTGGTTTTCCACTTGGTTTGTTTTGTTGCTGTTGTTGTTAGTGCAAGTCCCAAGGGGGAGACGAAAGTGGCGGACCCGAGGAAAACAGCCCATGTGAAAAGCAGCGTGAACGACGGATCTTCCTCCTTGGACTCCTCCCTGGCCGCCGTGGACCTGAAGCGCTTCAAGCGCAACCTGGTGGACATCATTCAGCAGAACAAGGAGCGCTGGAAGGAGCTGGCGGCCCAAGGTAGGCGGCGGGACTGCCGCCTCTTGGCCTTTGCTTCTCTTCGCGTGCATGTTTGGATCCCGGGTCACAGCAGGTGTAAAGGACAGGTGTCCTTTATGCTACTCCCCATCACAGCAGGTGTAAAGGACAGGTGTTCTTTACGCTCCGGAGCGTTGGCTCTATTGGGACTCGTCCAGGGCAGGAGAAGGGTGGCGTGACTTCTAAAAGACTGCTGTCCAGGCCGTGCCCTCTTGGCTGCAGAGGCCGTGCCGGGGGCGGTGGGGACGTGCTACTAAGGACAACGGGACAAGACAAACTGGGACCCAGTGCATTCGGCTCCGTTGGCCGGCCTTGGTGATTCGCCTTGGCTGGGGCTTTGCGTTGCACTGAGAACACAGCCCTTCCGTGCGATAGACTCTGCCGCGGGATCGTTCGTCTTTCAGTTTGCTGTGTTACATACTCGACAGGCGGTTTCACTCAGGATTTGCAGAAATCATTTGCATCTGACCACTAAAAAAAAAATCCCATAGGACTCTAGTTAGATCTGTTTCTGACGTCTCTGCTGGGTCCCACTCCTCCATCCGTCCGTTGTGGCGTGAGAAGAGTCCTTAGCTTCCTCCTCCCTCCTCCTCCTGCGCCTCCTTCCCTGCAATCCCTGCACCTACGGCAGCTTCTTGGAATACAGAGGGGGGAGGGGGTCGTTCTGACAGCAGCTTCTTGGAATACAGAGGGGGGAGGGTGTCGTTCTGACGGGATTTTCCTCCATATCTCTGCAGAGCTTACTCCCTCTCGGTCGGCAGGTCTCAACTTTGGAGGTCTAATTTGACACACACAGCACTCAATCACTCATTTAGCTTCATTCTTCCTTGGACCTTGGGAAGCATAGGCAATGATCCTTTCCCATTTTCCAGATAAGGAAATTGAGGGAGAGAACAGCTATATGACGTCCGCACATTGAGGAAATCACCAGCAAAAATTCTGGGGTTGGCTGCTTACGTATCTGGGGGCACACACATGAGAAATAACAAGGAGGGCACTGAGGCTGGGGGAAATCGGTCCAGCCGGTGCACGCAGGCAGTGAGAATGAGTCACGTGGTGCCATACTGTCGTTGTTGCTATTAGGTAAAATGCTACAGTAGGGTTTGAGGATACAAGTGAAATTATTTGAACCGAGTGTTCAAAGGATTACTCTGGGTACAGAAATGAAGTTACTCTTTTGTTTTTGGCAATGAAGATGGAAACAAGGAGGCCAACATAAGACAATTGTTCGTCATGCAGTAGACAGACAATGAGAAGTGAGACCGTGTAGTAGGGGTGAAAGAAGAGAGAAGTATATAAACGCTGGATAAAAGTGGTGGCCTGAACTGGTATGTATGAATGGAGCAGGAGTAGGCTGGGGGGCAGGGGCGGGGATATAGATACTAAATTTAAGCTATATTCTAAAGTAGAGCTGATGCGTTTATAGATCAGATCTGGGGTATAAAATATAAAAGGGAGTCCTATTGATTGTGCTACACATCGAGCTGCTGAACGCAAAGTCAGCAGTTCGAACTCAGCAGTCGCTATGTAGCAGAAAGACCAGGATGTCTGCTCCCATGAAGATATAACGTCTGAGAAACCCAAAGGGGCAGTGAGGCTCTGCCCTGAAGAGTTTCTGTGAAGCTACATGGCAGTGAGACTGTGTTTTGTTGTGTTTTTATTGACTGTGTAGATACATTAGGAGCCCTGCCTGGTGCCATTGTGGTTATACATGGGGCCGCAAACCACAAGGTCAAGTGTTCTATGCCTCTAGCCTCTCCCAGGGAATAAAACAGAGGTTTTTATTCCTGTAAAGAGCTATGTCTTGGAAACTCCCAAGGGCAGGTCTAACCTGTCCTATATGTTGCTAAGAGTCGGCATGACATTCCTCTTGATTGAGTTATTCCCGGCATAGCAAATCACATGATTTTCTGATTCAAAATGGCCAATCCTAGTCCATTTCAGCTCACTAATGCATAGGATATCAATCTTCATGTGTTCCATTTCATGTTTGACCACTTCCTAAATTCATACTTTGCACATTCCAAATTCTGATCATTGGCAGAGTTCTGTAGCTGTTTCTCAGCAAAGGAAGATCCCAAAGCCTCCACTCCCACCGGCTCTCCCAGACTCATGTCACCATGGTCAGCTCCTCTCCAAGGAGCCAGCTCCTCTCCAGTCCCATTGCCAGTGCCCTTGGAGCCGACAGGCCCATCGGCTGGCAGTAGCTCTGAAAACGTTCTGCTTCCTTTGGTTAGGTTTTCAGTACTTGCAGTGCTTTGAAGTTGTGCGTAAGTTTTCAGCAGCTTCTTCCTCTGACGTGGGGAACTAAGTCCTTCTTGGTTGTCTTTTTTTAGTCTGGAAGCTGCACTTAAGCCTGTGCACTTTGGGTGACCCTGCTGGCATTCAAAATATCAGGGACATAGCTTCCAGCATCACAGCAACACACAAGCCACCGCAGTATGGCAAACCTACAGACAAGTGGTGGGTTCTGGCTATCCTATTCTGCTAATTGTGATTGGATCATATCTGTCCACCTTGAAGGAAGTCTAATCAATACATGTACCAGAGGTATCATATTTGATGTATATCAAATATATCTTATATCAAATATATATAAATATATCATGTATACATATATCAAATATATCAGATACAACTATCATTTTACTTTATGCACCAACCACAGAATCTAGTGATGAAAAAAATTGAAGAATTCTACAAAGACTTCAGTCAGAAATGGATCAAACATGCCGTCCGGATGCATTAGTAGTTATTGGTGATTGGAATGCAACTTGGAAGGAACAGTAGGTGGAAAAGTGGACTTGGTGATAGACATGGAACTGGAGACTGCATGATAGACTTCACAAAACCAAGGAGTTGTTCATAGCAAACACCTTTAGTCAACAGCACAAAAAGCAACTATGCATGTGTCCTTCTCCAGATGGAATATTCAGGAATCAAATTGACTACATCTGTGGGAAGACACAATGGAGAAGCTCACTATCAGCAGCTAAAACCAGACCAGGGACCAATTGTGGAACAGATCATCAATTGCTCATATCCAAGTTCAAGAGGGAGCTGAAGAAATTTAAATAAGTCGACCGGAGCCAAAATATGACCTTGTGTCCATCCCACCCGAACTTCAAGAACATTTCAAAGACAGACATTGAACACTAATAACAGAAGAGTGATGAGCTGTGGGAGGACATCAAGATCATCATTCATGGTGAAAGCAAAAAGTCATTAAAAAGACAGGAAAGAAAAATATATATAAATGATGTCAGAAGAGACTCTTAAATTTATTATTAACCATAGAGTAGCTAAAGCAAATGGAAGAAAGGATGAAGTCAAGGAGCTGAGTACCCTGTTTCCCCAAAAGTAAGACATCCCCCGAAAATAAGACCTGCTTACTGTGTTGCCTCTTGCTGAAATATAAGGCACCCACCAAAAATAAGACCTCCCCAAAAATAAGGCCCATTGAAGCTACTGTAACTCTGGACTCTGGACCGTAGTGGCAGACGCCCCATTTCGCAGCTCACTGTTGGCTGCAGCACAGCCGGAGCAGACAGGAAGTGTGAGGTCTCTTTTAATAAAACAATAAACAATAAATGTGTACCATATTCTTCTTCATGGAAAAATAAGACATCCCCTGAAAAAAATTCTTCTTCATGGAAAAATAAGACATCCCCTGAAAATCTTTGGGAGCAAAAATTAATATAAGACACTGTCTTATTTTCAGGGAAAATGCTGCACATATTCACCTCGTGAGAGTATTTAGAGCAAGGGTGTTACTTTGAGAACTAAGGTGTGCCTGCCCCAATCCATAGTATTCTCCCTTGCCTCATATGCATGTGGAAGTTGGACATTGAATAAGAATTTGAAGGAGAACAGGTGCATTTGAATTGTGGTGCTGCAGAACAATATTGAAAGTACCATAGAGTGCTAAAAGGACAAACTAATCTGTATTGCCAGAAGTAAGGCCAGGCTGCTCCTTAGAGACAAAGATGTCAAGATTCTGCCTTACATACTTTGGACAGATTGTCAGGAAAGAAGACCATCGTGTTGGGTAAAGTACAGGCGCAGCAAAAAGGAGGAAGGCTCTTGATGAGATGGACGAACACAGTGGCAGCGGCGATGTGCTCAGGCGTGGGAACAATTGTAAGGATGGCGCAGGACCGGGCAGTGTTTCATTCTGTTGTGCACAGGGTCTCTGTAGGTTTTAGCCACCTCGATGGCGCCTAACAACAAGAGATGTGTACACTACAACCTAGAAGCTTCAGAGCTCTGGTGAGACAGTGGATTAAGAGTTGGCCTGCTTACCACAAGGTCAGGGCTCAAACACACCGGTTTCTACTGAGGAGAAAGGTAAGGCTGTCTGCTGGCATAAAGGTTTACGATCTAGAAACCCTGATACAGGTTCCTGTGGTTCTGAATGAACTTGACAGCAATAAGATTATTTGTCAGATACTTGTCAGAGAAGGAAAATTCAAAATTTCCCCAATTATAAAGAAAAGTAGTAAAACTACATCCTACCAAAGGTGGACAAGCTTTAGAGTCTAAGCCATGACATGCTCTGGCTCTGACAGATTTCACTGTATAAATCTTTCACCGCAGTTTGACGCATATCAGAATCCATACACACGCTCAATGCAAGCAGCAGTAAAAATGGGGCCATAAACTGATGTGTTGACATGGAACAACACAAACGATTGAAAGTCATCAACAGGGATAAATGGCACAATATGGAGAAGATGCTAAATGTAGGAAGAAAGAATCCATAAAAGTTTGGAAGCCTTAAAAAAGGCACACACACACACACACACACACACACACACACACAAATAGAAAACACTGCCATTGAGTTGATTCTGACTCTTAGTTACTCTGTAGGCATCCTGGTAGCACAGTGGGTTAGGTGTGGGGCTTCTAACCACACGGTCGGCAGTTTGAAACCAACAGCCATTCCATGGGAGAAAGGTGAGACTTTCCACTCCCTTACT